TAAATAAATAAAAAGACACACATAAGTTAAACGTAAAAGGACAGAAAGAGATAAACCATGCTAATACTAATCAAAAAGAAAGCTGGAGTGGCTATATTAATACCAGATTTTAGAATAGGAAATATTAGAAAAGATAAAAAAGGAGGGACGTTCTATAATGATAAAGGTGTCACTTAATAAAGGGGATATAATCCAGGGCGCCAGGGTGGCTCAGCTGGTTAAGTATCTGCCTTCTGCTCAGGTCATGATCTCAGGGTCCTGGATGGAGTCCCATATCAGGCTCCCACTCAGTGGGGAAGCCTACTTCTCCCTCTGCCTACAGCTCTCCCTACTTGTGCTCACTCTTGCTCTCCCTCTCTCTGACAAATAAACATAATCTTAAAAAAAAAAAGAAAAGATTCTCTCCCTCTCCCTCCTCCCCTCCCCTTCCTCTGAAAAGAAAAGGGGGAAACAAAAAAAGAGCCACACTTAGATGATTACTAGCCCAGAAAAGAGGTCCGTAGACCTTTTTTTAAAAAGCAGGCAACCTCCTTTTCCAAGCAAAATCTTTTGTAGAACCTCACTATCTCAGACAGATGAAAGCAATATCTTACTAGAATACATTAATATAAGTTCAGTTTCATGATATCTCAGTGTTATAAAATTATTCACTGTCAACAAGGCTATTTTAATAAACTGAAAAATTTGATATGTAGGACATCTGAGTGCACATATATTTTTTAAAGATTTTATTTATTTATTTGACAGAAAGAAAGAGATCACAAGTGGGGGGGGAGCAGGCTCCCCGCTGAGCAGAAAGCCCGATGCAGGGCTCGATCCCAGCACCCAAAGATCATGACCTGAGCCGAAGGCAGAGGCTTAACCCACTGAGCCACCCAGGCACCCCTGAGTGCATATATTTTAAATTAATTTTCAAAAGTAATCTCTACATCCAATGTGTCACTCGAACTCATGACCCTGAGATCAAGAGTCACACACTCCACTGACTAAGCCACAGCCAGGAGTCCCTTGAGTATATATATTTTTAAACTTCTGTTTTATGAACAGATAAAATATATTTAAAGTTTTTGGGTAAAAATGGTAGACTGAACACATGTATCTAATTTTGCTCTACTAAAAATACGCTCAAACTATAGCAAAGGGATATTTTAAGCCATAAATCCACAAAGGGAAACAGGAGAGGAGACAGGAGCAAAATACTTTAGGAAGTTGGAAAGCATATGGATGAGTGGTTACTGACTGAGACTAGAGAAGGACGAATCCTAAGGCAGCAGTGGGCCAGCGGATGGCAAACAGAATTGGTTGCGCCAGATGGCTGACCACCCCAAAAGGAAAACCTAAAGATGTTAGCATCAGAGTCTCCCTGAGGTGAAGCTCTTGGCCGCCAAGCTCCACCCATATACCTGAGCTCACAGAGCACAGATACTTACAGTGGGCTTTTTGGTAACCCATCCTTCAATGTGAGCAAACAACCAAGGATTATAAGACCTCCAAGAAAAGATTCTAACACGAGAGAGACCAAAACGACAGAAAAAGAAATTTGGAGCACACAGAGATTACACAGAAAGAAGAAAATTGAAACAAAACTACCATTAGTAGCTTCAGAGATAAGATAAACCATTGAGACACTGAAACAAAAAAAGATGCTATTAGAAAGGAATACTCAGAGAATAACAGTAACGTGAGAGTAATAAAAATCTTTACAATATTGAAAAACTCAGTAGAAGAATGGGAAGATAAGATTGAGGAACTCTCCCAGGAAACAAAGTAATAACAATGGAAAGCAGGAGAGAAAAACAAGAAATTGGTAGGAGCAGTCCATCAGATCCATCATCTGGATTTCAGGAGTCCCTAAAAATAAAGAACGGGGAAAATGAAAGGGAAGAATTCACCAAGGGGATGATTTCAAGATTATTTCCCGGAAGTGAGGGGGCACTGAGTAACCAGCACAACAAAGAGCCTCTCACCAAGATATATCACAACCATCTTAGAACACTGGAGACAGGGAGAGGTTCAGAGATGGGGAAAAAGTCAATTACAAAGGAAAGACTTAAAAGGCTTCAGACTTCTCACAACAATGAAAGCTAGAAGGTAATGTCATAATGCCTTCATAATTCCAAAGAAATTCAATACCCAACCAAGCAATCAATCAAGTGTTGGAGTAGGATAACGGCAATGTCAAACATGCAAGTTTCGAAACAATTTACCTCTCCTTTTCTCAAGAAGCTTCTGGAAGATGGTCTCCAAAAAGAGGGAATAAATTAAACAACAAAAAAAGACATGGAACACGGCAAATAAAAGATCCAACAAAGGAGAGGTCAAAGACAGTGCCAGGAAGATGAGAGAGGAAGGGCCAGGTTGCCAGGTGCAGCAAGGGTCAGGGATAAACACTCGGATTGGAGCAGGTCACAAGGCTCCAGCAGAGATCTCTTGAAGAAGATGAAGTTGATAGAGTATCTGCTGTGTCTAGATATTCTGAGTTGAGATTCAGGTAACTAGAGGAAGATTTTGAGGCAGATTTTGTGATATATAGATAGAAAACTAAACAAATGAAAAAGCAAGGTAAGTATTAATTTCAGGAAAAATCAAAAGTTGTGCAGGAGAGAAAGAGTCACCAAAACTTTCTACATGGCTCAACTCTGAGTAGCAGGTGTAGACAAGTGTTGTAAAAACTGAAACTAGGGGATGAGAATGAGGGATCAGTGGGCAGGGGAGGAGACCTGAAGGGAACAAAGTTAATTCCTCCAATCTGCCCCTTTTATTTTGTGGGGGCTGGGGCAAGACTACAAATGAAAACATACTCAAATGTTTTAATGTTACAAATTAACTGTTATAAATTAACAAATTAAATTAAATTTTATAAATTAAATGTTATAAATTAAACTGTTAAATAAAATACCTTCTAAACTCTTCATATGGACCAGGAAAGCCAGGTTCTAAATTAGAATTTTTGGACTCCTTAGAGTCCATGCTAGAAAATAGGAGCCCCCAGCCCCTGGATCTTGTCTCACTCCCTTCTCCTCTGCCCTTGCCTCTGTCCTACACTGAGAGAGCCTCACACAGGGTCCTGTGGAGACCCCAACTTGTGCTCTTGCCTCTTGCTGCAAATAACTGCTCCTTGGCTATCCCTCAAGCCTAGCGATGCCTATCAGCAAAGTCTTCCTGTGGAAGAGAGGTCCAAGGAGGCAAGCTGGGCAGGGAAATCCAGGGTCCCGGGTATTCAGAATATGGCTTATAAGGGGGTAAGTAGGCTTTGGATTGGCATATCCCCTTGGACTCAGTACCCTGTGGGGAGGGATGCAGCTGGAGGAGGGCCAGGGTAATAAAAGTAAAATGCCAAAAGAAACAGCTTCAGGGATGCCTGTTTGGCTCATTCATTTAAGCATCTGCCTTTGGCTGGGTCATGATCCCACGGTCCTAGGATCAAGTCCCCACATGGGGCTCCCTGCTCAGTGGGGGGCCTGCTTTGCCCTCCGCCTGCCATTACCCTTGCTTGTACTCTCTCTCTCTGTCTCAAAAAGAAAAAACAGCTTCAAAGAGCTGAAAATGGCTGCCTCCAGGGAGGGAGAGATGATAGAGGCAGGGCTCTGCTGTTTATATTAACAAACTGTACACAATTATTTGACTCTTTAAAGTAGGTGCCTACCTAGGCTAAGAAATACATTAAATGTGACTGGTAAAAGTTTATGGAACTTCTGACCACTCCTGCTATGCCCAGAGGTCTCAGTAATAAAGTTTGAAAACCATGGGACTAGGCCTTCATTTGAGGCTATCTAGGTATTGTGAAGAAAACGACAGTGATCTACAATCGTCCCCAAGAACGAATCCCTCTTCCTTTTCTCCCATTTGTTCCCTTTAATTCAGGAGTTCCGCTTCCTGCTGGTTGTTTTCCTACCTCTCTCCCTCCCGGTAGACTCTAAGACCCTTGCAAGCAGGGACCCGGCTCACAGAGTTTTCAATCTCCAGCACCTAGCATAGCACTGAGTACAGAGTACAGGCTCAACTGTTGATGAATAAAGAAAAAAGGTATCATCTTTATCCAGGCTTTGGAGAGAGGGTGCTCGATCCCTTTCTGCACCCTGCATCGGTATCAGGAGCCCTGTCAGTTACTAGTCCTGAAACCTTCGGCATATTCATTAAATAATTTTGGGTTGTAATTCCCTTATCTGCACAACATAGTATTTAGCTCATATCTCTAAAGCCTATAAATGATTGGCTCGCTTTCACCGCTTGGTGGAAGCCAAATCTGAAAAGAAGTTAACTTCGGGCTCACCTAAGAAGCACGTCCGCCTCCGAGGGCAGGGATTTCAGGAGCTCTATCCGCTTTTTTTTTCGACTGCCGTTTGTCCAGTGCCTGGAGCAGTTTGAGGCATTTATCAGATGTTCAACAAATATCTGTTTAATGAATGAACTTAAAAGTGCTAAAAAATAACTATGCAACGAATAAAAAAAACTCTCAGTGAGGTGCAAAGATACCCCTACATTCTGAATGAACACATCGGTCCAGCCCCTGGGTCCCGGGCGCGAGTGCGCGGGATCCAGGCGCTCCGAGCGCCCATGCGCGGCGGACGCGCCAGCTGATCCGCAAAGGCCGGGAAAGCTGGGGGCCCAGGTCTGAAGGCGGCCGGTGGGAAGGGCGGGAAGGCAGGAGAGTTGCAGACGCGCGGAGCCGCCCCGGACGCGCGCTCTAGCCGCTTGGGGCTGCCAGGCTTCTGCGGCTCCGGCCGCCCGTCAAGAGCCCGGCAGCGCGCCCCGCCCCCCGTGGGCGGGCCCCGGACCTGGCGGCGCGGGGGCGGGGTCTAGCTGTCCGCGCCGGGGGCGGGGCCGGGCCCGGGCTCTCCGGGCCGGTGCAGGGCCCGGCTGGTCCGCGGGCGCGACCGGAGCCCCGGCCACCAAGGGGTGCGACCCCCCACTGGCCCCGCCTTCCCGGCTGCGGCTCGGCCAATCAGAGCGTCTTTTACTGGCGGGTGGGCCGAGCCGGCCCAGCTGCTCGGAGGCTCTGGCATGGTAACGTCCCCGCGCGGGGGTGGAGGGGCCCGGGGCGGTCCCACAGCGCCCCCGGCGGCCCGGGCCGGGGCCGGGGGGCCGGGGAGGCCGCCGGGGGTACCCGGGACCCCGGGGGAGGGCGAGGGGCATGAGAGGTGAGGGAAGGGAGCCCGGGAGGGGGAGGGGAGCGGGGATTTGGGGGAGAAGGGGCGGGGAGGCCATGATGGAGGATGGCGGGGGTGGGGGAGAGGGGGATTGAGGGGAGCGAGAGTTGCGGGACTGGGTTGAGGAGGAGGAAGGGGAGAAGAGAAGGGTGGGTTTGTGAAGAAAGGTCAGGAAAGGAGAGGGGGCGGGAATGTGGGAACCGAGGGACAAGGGGAGAGCTGGGGGGCTAGTTTCCCCTTGTTGGGTATTTGGCGTGCAACACGCCCCTCCTCAGACCCAGTGCTTGTTTCCTTTGGAAGCCCTGGACGCCCCATAAGATCACTTGGAGACCCCCTCCTTCGTTTCCTCTCATTGTGTCGTTAGGTGAGGAGAGGGCATTGTCTCCTGAGGAAAGAGAGGCTACGGTCCCCATCTAGTCCCGGATAGCCCAAGAAATGAGAAAACAGAGGACCCTTGATCCCAGCCCTGGCTCTGCCATCAACAAACTGTGTTAACAACTCTGTGTGACCTTGGGCAAGTCACTACCTTTCTTTGGGCCTCAGATGCCCCATCGATTTAAAAAAAAAAAAAAACAAGGAAAATGCATGAGAATGATACCACAGATCCTTTCCAGCTTCGAAATGGGGTGGTTCCTCAGGAGAGAGTTCAGGAGAATGGATTCTAGGATGTGGGGAAGCAAGGGAAAGCAGGCTGACGATGGAGGCGAGGCCTTCAGCTGGGGCTGCAGAAAATCCCCAGGGATGTGGGGGATGGTAGGCACAAAGCCTGCAGGGCTGGAGCAGGCTAGCCAGCGCCAGTGGCATCCTATTGGAGGGATGGAAGAACTCTGGAAGTTGCGGAGGAGGTAGAGACCTAACTCAAGAAAACGAAGACCAGCATGAGGTCTTCATTCTGAGGAGATGGCAGGACAGAGAGAACCAATGAAAGCTCTTTTCTAGTAAGACTGCCGATATCTTTGGGGAGAGGGAGGAATATACTAAGGCTGATGTAGAGGAGTGGGGATTAGGATGGTCTTGAAAACGGAGGGCCTGGCACTGTTTGGGGCAGCTGAAGCAGGGCAGCAAGTAAGGGTTGACTGCAGGGGAATTAGCTGGTCTCTTGGCCTCCATGCTCTTTTTCTTTTTGATGTCAGGTACCCTTTCTGAGAGGTACCTTCTCTCACCTTTTTGAGAAATGTGCCTTCTAGCTTTCATTGTCCCAACACAAATCCCTTTAGGGAATGAGTCAGACCAGACCATCCTTGGGATCACCTGGAGGATTTCAGGATAGTGTGTGGATTGGGGTGAAAAGAAAACAGGAGAATCAGTTTGTGAGAAATAGCTGTGGCACCATCACCCTAGCTGGGAGACAGCTTTGTGGAGTAGTTGAAAGCTTTGGGGTCAGGCTGCGTGGATTCCAAACCTGCCTCTGCCATTTAATCCTTTGGAACCTTGCTCAAGTTATTTAATCTCTCTGAACCTCACTTTCTTTATTTATAAAATGGGGACAATAATAACCTTTTAGATAGTTGCAAGGATTAAATGAGTGGCATGATATCTGGCCCATAATAAGCACTCAATAAATATTAGTTGTTAGCTATTCCCTTTCCTTGCTCTTTCTTCTGTCTCCATTCTTGTTCTTTTCCCCTTTTATTCTTTCTTCTGAGTCTTTAGTTCTGAGCTGTAGCTTAGATGTAAAGGCTCAGAAGAATTGATTGCACCTTTGGTGGTGGTGGTGGGGGGTGTTGTGTCCTTCCACTGGTACAGATGAGCTCATGATGATAAGATGATCAGTGGTTTCTTCGTCTCTGTCCAGCCCACAGATGTGTTTTTGTTCCAGGGAAGACATAGATCTGCTCTTTCAGCCCATTTCCTGTATTGCTCTGTCACACGAGTTCAGTCTCGCCCCAAAGTGTAATGAGACCCGCACTTGTCCAGGCACCGCAGCAAGTGAGAGAGGGGCAGAGGTGTTTTAGGAAGAAAAGTATACACATTGTGCAGGGGAAGCTCAGGGAAGGGAGGGCCGCGGAAGTTCCATGGTAATTTATGTTCATTCCTTTGCTCTGTCCTCTGCGGGAACTGTCCAAAACAGTCCAGCGTCTGGATCCTGGCCAGGGGTCTCCATTCCAAGTTAAAGATGGTCAGTGGTCACTTCGGCGGCACATACACCAAGTTAGAGATGTCCTATACAGTGAGTTTTTTACTATTTAGGTTTTCCCATGCCAGTATTTGATTTCAGTTTTCTTTCCCCAGCTATACAGACAGCCTCTGGCGAGCTGTCCATCTCATTACAGGCCATCTTTACCCAGAGAATTTTATACAACTGTACGTGGGCACATGGGTGCACCTGCACACATTTGCCTGTTCTGGGATATTCCAGGATGCAAAAATCGAGTAAGGTTAAGGATGAGTCTGCATTCTATCACAGCACTTTGTGTGCAGGGTCCTGACTAGACACTCAAGAGGAGGCGTAAAAGGAGAAAACATAATCCCCCAATATGGAGAAATCTCCTCCCAAGCAGGGAGACAGGCGGACGGGTGGGAAACACCCAGCAAACATCCACAGAGTAGCATGTCATCAGTGCCTAGTAGTGCTGCATTTATCCTGAGGGGACACAAGAGGTAGGAGTATGTGTATGTGTGGAGGATAATCATAAAGGTAATCTGAAGGGGGTGAATACTGGATCATTTTGAGCAAAGTGAGAGACAGTAGAGTAAGAGGAACACAGGGTGTAACCTAACAATTGCTGTGCAGAGAGGAGGAGGGAAGCCAATGAGTCAGGCTGAGCCAAGAGTAGACAGGTCTTTTGAAAGGCTTTGAATGTTAGGTGAGATTCTGTAGGGTGAGCAGTAGGGAGCCACCACTAATTCTCAAGGAAGGGTTTGGATCCTTGCTGATTTTACCACATGGGAAGCAGGGAATATGCTGAGTGAAAAAAACAGACTGCTTCCTTGTGGCAAGGACAGTGCTGAGGGTGACTGAAGAGCAGAATGGACCCAGTCCTGGCTCTGTCCCTGACCACAGTGGAGCCTGGGACTGATAATTTCCCTTAGTTTTCTCATCTGAAAAAGGAAACTCCCTTGGGTGGTCGCCAGAGTCCCCTCCATCTCTGACATTCTGTGTTCTCTGAATAACTCCTAGGCCTTACCAGTGGCTGTGTTTTGTGGGACCTGCCAAGACCATCAAGTCAATAAATACTAACACCTTCTATGTTCCAGTCTGGGGCAGTGAGGAAAATACAGTGAGGCTAGGAGATGAGGGTGAGCCAAAACAGACCAAGTCCCTGCCCCTTTAAATGTAAGATCTGGTGGAGGCAGCAGATATTTCATTGACCCTAAGACTCACATTTTAACATTTCTTGTCAAGACCTCTTAAAATCGTTGGAGTATCATAATTTAAGTGGTGGCATTTGTTTTTTATTAGTGGCCACATAAAATAATGGGACAGTCAGCACCATGGGAGTAACTGTAAACTTCCAGTGGGTAATTGCTAAAGGGAAGGGTGCGTGGTACACGAGCCTGTAAAAGAGGGCTCTGACTTAAGCCTAGACCACTGGCCTGGGAGGAAGCCTTTCCTGAGGAAGTAATGGCTGGTAGATGTGAGACCTGTAGGCTAGGTGTATAGGGTCGGCAGGAAGTTGTGGCAGGCAGAGATGAAGGCCGGAGGTGGGAGAACTGGGAGATGGTGAGTGTGGCGAGAGCACACACTCAGGAACTCAACATGGATGAAGCTGGCAAGGCAATTGAGAAGCAGACTTCCCACAGCCTTCCAGGCCTTGGGGAGGAGTTTTGGTCTCTACCGTCAGGACAGTGGGAGCCATTGAAGAATTTTAAGCAGGGAGTAACATGATCTGAGGTGCACTTTGATGAGCTTGTTGTGGATGTGGGGAGACTACTACAGAAGGTCAAATGAAAACGAGAGAGGGGTGGGTGGATTCAAGAAATGTGTACAAGGTACAATTAGCAGGACTCAGTGACGTATTGACAAGAGGGAGGTGTGGAGAATGACTCACCAGTTTCTATCTTAGACAGCTGTATGGACTGTGGTGCCAGCCTCAGATTGGCAACTCTGGAACCTGGTAGGACCCAGAGAGATGGTTATGTAGCATCTGGGAGGTCAGAGAGGATCCTAAGGCAGCTTGAGGTGGGTAAGCATGGCACAGAGAATTGGATTTCCTCCCACACTGGTGAATTTCTGACTTCCCATACTAAGGACAGTCTCGGGCTGGGGCAGGTCTGAATACAGGGCTGGAGCAGTTGAACCCTGAGAAAGGTGATTCTGGGTGGAATAGTGTGGCTTACCTTTCTCTCCTTAGGACAAGACGGGTGGGAACAGAGGCAGGACAGATACTACGGGAGGTAGATATTAGAAAGCATCTATTCAATGCCAAGCCTTCTCAGTGGAGGGGGTCAATGGGGAGGTAGGGAAGTTGGGCATCAGTAGGGTGTCTCCTCCTCAGCCAGCTACCACCTTTCCCTAGAACTCCTCCCTGATACCCTCTAATCATCAAGCGAAAGGAGGAAGGACAGAGCCTTTTAGCTGTATCTCGAAGCCTCAGTTTACTTAAAAAGATTTTTTTTTTTGAATGGGTAATATAGTCACATGGATGCATATTCAAAAGTTACAAAAGGGCATATGTACAGCGAGAAGGTTCCTTTCCCACCTCCGTCTCCCTTCTACTGATTTCTTTCTTGTATGTCCTCTTTCCAGTTTTCATACAAATGATCACACTTGGCTGCACTTTGCATTTTTTCCCACTTGTTAATGGATCTTAGAGATTGCTCCTATCAAGACTATGAATGGCTTCATTCTTTTTTTATGACTGCATAGTGTTACATTTTATGTTTGTGTATAATTTCATAGTTAGTGACGGGTATATAGGCTGATGCCAGTCTTCTGTTTTTACGAATAATGCTGGACTGGAAACATTGTATATGCATCATTCTGACCATATCTGTGGGATGAATTTGGCTATATTTATAGATGAGGTGTTAGAATTGGGAGTGTTTGGTCCTTTCTTTGTCCCTTCTTGCATTCATTCAATATTTATTGAGTACCCATTATGTGCCAGACACTGGGGCAGGTACCAGGGTCCAGCTTTCAATAAGTCTGACACATCCCTGTCCTCATGGAATGTTATTACACATGTAAGGGGAAACGTAATAATTACGAAACTGTGTACACCAGGAAACTAAGAAGGGCATCAGATAGAGAATAAATTCAGTGGTCAGGAGCACTCTTGGGAGCATGTGGTATTTAAGGCAACAACTGCAGGATGGGATGTGGTGGCTAGTAGGCGTTGGGCAGGGAGACTAGGTTGTTCAAAGTCTCAGCCACAGGGAGAGGAGGTCGGGATCTGTAGGGGAAAGGGGTAGAGCTGCTGAGGAGCAGGTGATGGGGAGTGGGAGGTGTCAGAGTGAGCAAGGGAGTAAAGATGAGGCCAGTTGGGGGGGTGCCCGCAGTGAAGAGAGAGGGAGGCTAGTGCTTAAGGTGTGGTGACTGTTTGGGCTTAGAGGGCTTTGGGGTTGACTCTACCAGTGAATTCAGGTAGGGGGACGGGAAAGGAGGTCACTTCCTCCCTGGCTACTTTGGGAATGAGAGACCTCTGTTGAAGGCTTGAGGGAGGCCCAGCCTTGCCCACAGATAGGAGAATGGATGCAAAGCCTTGGGAAAAGCCACACTGGGCCTGTAGTCCAGCCGTCCTCATCTGTTCTGGGGCTCTGGTGCGATAGAGACCATGTAGAAGGGGACCGGCAGCCTGGCTCTTGGCTGGTAGAAGAGAGCACAATTAGCTAGGGCTCGGAGCTGGGTGTGGGCAGGAAACCGGGCCAGGAGACCCTTCCTCTGAACTTTGTACTCCTTTTTCATCCTCATCGCTCTGCTTCCCTTTTGCAAAAGCCCATCTCTGCCCATCCTGGGTCCTATGACTTTTCTCTCCCTCAACAGTCGGTTCCCGATTCTGGTCCCCGGCCCCCAGCAGCGCCTGCCCCCTTCCCACCGGGGCCCCCCATGATGCCACCACCCTTCGTAAGTTTTATGTCTTCCCCTGGGCTTGGCTTTTCCAGCCTGCACCCCCATTACCCCGGTCCCTAGCACTGCTGCATTGCCAGCACGGTTTTGTGTCCTGCTTCCTCTGCCACCCTTGGAAAAGGGGTAGTGTTGCTTGGGCATGGGGGTGGGAGGAGCTGCTGTCAAGCTCCCTGTCCGTCAAGTTGACAGCTCCCCCTTTGTCTTTTTGTCCTTGGGACACACTGGGGCTGGGGTAAGAGAAGTGGAAAGGAAGAGACCCTGTTAGTGTAAGCGCATGGTGGGGCTGCCTTTCTCTTTCACTACTCCTTCTCTGTTCTTTCAACGTGCCACTGAAGTCAGGCTGAAGTAGCAGCTGGTGGTCATTGAACTGGAGAAAAAGGGATGGGAGGCAGGGGACTGGGGGGTCTGGGGACCTGGAATCCTGCCTCTGAGAGGCCTCTTTGGGGAGAGTTGCTCAAGGGATGGAGCCTTCCAGCCACGGTCTGGTGGCAGTTAGACGTTTCCCCTCTCCCTTCCCTACCTCTGAAGAAGCTGTGGTGCTTGCCTCTTAGACCCAGAAGACCCCCCCCCCAATTTTCAGTCTTTTTCAGTGGTGGGGAGCAGGCAGTTTCATGCTTTGCGCTTCTTAAGCTAAAGCCTTGGAATTGCCTAAGAGCCAGGCGGTGCAGGGAGTTGAGAAGGCGGGGAGACAGGTGGATATTCCCTGACCGGTCCAAGGCGGGGTCTTCTCTACTCAGTGTCCCTTCCTTTCCTCACTTTCAGATGCCCCCTCCAGGAATTCCCCCACCCTTTCCTCCGATGGGACTACCCCCCATGAGTCAGAGACCACCAGCCATCCCCCCAATGCCGCCTGGCATCATGCCCCCAATGCTTCCACCAATGGGGGCGCCACCACCACTCACGCAGGTAATCCTCCCTCCTGCCTCAGTGCCTCAGAAGACCCCGTGAGTCCGGCTGGGGGTGGAGGGGAGAAGGGGCATCTGGACTTCAGGAAGTAGGGAGAGAAGGGAGGGAGCTTTGGCCAGGCCCATGTGGATTTGTCCACTGAGTGACGGGAGGAAACTCTGTGGTGGGGCTGAGAGCCTAGAACCTAGAGATTGTCTAAGGCGGGGCAGGAGACCATGCGAAGGTCATGGCCCCAAAGGGTATCTCTCGGGAACCTGCCTTGCTTCTGCCTGCCCTCACCTCGGTAGTTGTTTTTTATCTTCTTTGTGTCCCCAGATACCAGGAATGGTACCTCCCATGATGCCAGGAATGCTGATGCCAGCAGTGCCTGTCACTGCAGCGGTAAGCACGAGGGGGGCTGGCAGGAAGCAGGTCCCGCAGCCCTGCGGGTCTGACTTGGAGGATAGGGATGCGGCCTCCATCCTTTCCCTCTTCTCTTTGGTTCCGTCCCAGTCCCAGCAGCACTCCCCACACTCAGGTCCTCCTCTCTGGCCACATACTCTGCTCTTGTAGTTTCTCACTCACCCCCAAAGGCATGTTACTCTTTTGTCCTCCTTGCTGGGCCTGGCTCCCTGAAGGAACACATTCATGGCTGACACTGCTTGCCCTCACAGAGCTGGCACTTCGGACACCTGAATATAGTCCCCCCTCACACCTTCTCTGTCTCTGGTGGAAGCATCAGCACCTGGGGATCTCACCGAACCTTCTGGTTCCATTGCTCAGTGTAGTAGAGTCTGGGTAGGATGTAGCAGTTGGCATCTGCTGTGGAAGAGGTGCCTCGGAGGTGGACTCGACAAAATGCTCTCACTTGAGGAAAACCAAGAACAGCTGCTGTGCGATTCCCCTTAGGATCATACAGCCATGGCCCCAGAGGGTGGGGGATGCCTGTTAGGGGGCAGAGGTCCCTGGGAGCAGGACACACGGATCCTGGCCTGGCCTGCTTCTTCATCCCCCATGGCCTGGGTCCTGGGGGCCGCTGGGCTTGGCCCCAACCCTTCCCCCTCCTCTTTCTTCGGCAGACGGCTCCGGGTGCGGACACAGCCAGCTGTGAGTCTTCTGGGGGTCTGCTCCCCCCAGGCTCGGAGGTTGGGGGGTATAGGGGAGAGGGGACCGTGGACTAGAGCCCACCCTGGATCATGCCTGTTGGGATGCCAGGGAGCCTGGGATGTTGATGGGACCAGGGGATATTTATTGGGGATGGAGTAGGGGAGGAATAGGTGGGATAAAATGGGGGTTGGGGCAAGGACTTAACATTTCCCTTGGCTTTTTTTTTCTAGCTGCTGTGGCTGGGACAGGCCCTCCGGTGAGTTCTTCCAGCTCAGGGGTCTCTGGGTAGAAAAGCTGAAAGTTGGGGAAGCTGATGGTTAAATCTTTGGGGTAAGGAGGAGAAGCTTTGGGGATGGGGCCTTGACCACCATTCTGTGCCCGCTCCCCTCCCAGAGGGCCCTGTGGAGTGAGCATGTGGCTCCTGACGGACGCGTCTACTACTACAATGCTGACGACAAGCAGTCTGTGTGGGAGAAGCCCAGCGCTCTCAAGTCCAAGGCAGAGGTCCTGAACAGGGCCGTTTGGCCCTACCTTTCAGCTTCCCTGACCCTTCCAAGTCCTTGGCCTCCCCTGAGTCTTTAACTATACACATGGTTCCTCCGATCCCAAGATCCTTGACCATTGCCCCAGGCTCCCTACGATCTCAGGAAGTCTGTCTTCCCCCATGTTGAGCCAGGCCAGGTGATAGCTAAAAACTCCCTGCTCACAGGATCCTCTTTGCTGCCCTGACTCTGCCTCCACTAGGGGGCATGCCCAGCCCACTGATGTCCTCTGACCCATCCTCTTGCAGTTGCTGCTGTCCCAGTGCCCCTGGAAAGAGTACAAGTCAGACACGGGCAAACCTTACTACTATAACAACCAGAGTAAGGAGTCTCGCTGGACCCGGCCCAAGGACCTGGATGACCTGGAGGGTGAGGAGTGGGTGGGGCCTGGGCTACGGTTCTGGGGGGTGGCCCTTGCCACCCTGTGACCATGCTATTTTTTTCCCATTGCAGCTCTAGTCAAACAAGAGGCTGCAGGGTGAGTGACTTGCCCACCTATCCCCCATATGTGTGGGGCCAGCAGAGGGGTGGGAGTGGACCCTCTGTCTGTGGTCCCCACTCCGTGGAAGAGCCAGCTCTCAGTCTGTACGTGGAGTGGCCTGCTCTGGCCCCAGTCCTTCACAGGACAGAGAGACCAGCTGGTCCCTGACTGTCCCACTATCTGCTCCGCTCCTGGACACTGCTCTTCCGGCCTGCCTGCAGGAAACAGCCGCAGCAGCCCCAGATCTTGCAGCCGCAGCCACCTCAGCCCCAGCCTGAGCCCCCACCTGGGCCGCCTGGTCCCACCCCTGTGCCCCTGGGCCTTCTAGAGCCTGAGCCAGGTGGGAGTGAAGATTGTGATATGTCAGAGGCCGCCCAGCCTGTGGAGCAGGGTTTTCTGCAGCAGCCGGAGGAGGGCCCCAGCAGGTGAGGGCTGCCCCTCTGAGACATTCCAGATGCTGGCTTCGGGCTCCCTGCCTAGTTCAACCCTTGACTTCTGCCAGGCCTCTTGGGAAGGGTGTGAAGATCTGGGCACAGCCTCTGGAGGGCAGAAGGGGGCTGCTCTGGGGAGCCAGGCTGTACTCCTGACCACATAGGCACTGAAAGCTGGGGGACCTGGGAGATGCTGTGGCTGAGTCCCCTTTGCCCTCCAGTGCTGCTGGACAGCATCAGCCGCCACAGCAGGAGGAAGAGGAATCAAAGCCAGAACCAGAGAGGTCTGGCCTCAGTTGGAGCAACCGGGAGAAGGCAAAGCAGGCCTTCAAGGAGCTGCTGAGGGACAAGGTGCGGGGGTGGGGCTCCCAGGGTAGGCCTGGAGGGGGCTGGAGGTGGGCAGGCCCCGTGACCCCTGCCTGCTCCATTCTAGGCTGTCCCCTCCAATGCCTCGTGGGAACAGGCCATGAAGATGGTGGTCACCGACCCCCGTTACAGGTAGGCCTGGGCAGAGGGAGCCAGGCCCTCCAGTCTGTGTGTGAGCAGCTGGGCCAGGGCCTCCCTGAGAAGCCCCAGCTCAACACTCTGGCCCCAGGGGGGCCCGAGTCAGGAGAGTGATAGAAGGGCAAGGGCGCAAGGAAAAGAAGCTGGAGGGCCTCTGGGAGGAGGAGGGGAAAGGTATATGATATGAGACATTCAATAAATGCTTGTTGAATTGAAATGATTCGAATTGAATTAATTGGGGTAAGGGGGCTGGATAGGGCGGAGGCCTGAATGCACCTTGAGAACCAACCCCAGAGCAAAAGGGCTCGGTGTTAGTGTCTTGGAGCCCCGTCTTTCCCTCACTGCCTCCCATCCTTCCCCTCATCCCAGAGACCCGTCTTGCCTCCCTGCAGCCTGCTGTTCCCATGCATGGACCCCTCACTCAGTTCTGTGTGCCGTGACCCTGCTTGGTGGGCTGTGCAGGGTGACTCCTCTATCCCCCCCGCCCCCAACTCCCACCCTCTCCACCTCAGTGCCTTGCCCAAACTGAGTGAGAAAAAGCAGGCATTCAATGCCTACAAGGCGCAGCGGGAGAAGGAGGAGAAGGAAGAGGCCCGGCTAAGGGCCAAGGAGGCCAAGCAGACCTTGCAGCATTTCCTGGAGCAGCACGAACGCATGACCTCTACCACCCGCTACCGGTCAGGGGGCTGGGCTGGGGTGGGGTCTGGGAACCCTGAGAACACACGGGCCCAGGGTCTCTGTCCCCTGCCCGCCTACCCATGACCCATATGCTCCACAGGCGGGCAGAACAGACCTTTGGGGAGCTGGAGGTGTGGGCTGTGGTCCCTGAGAGGGATCGAAAAGAGGTTTATGATGATGTCCTCTTCTTCCTGGCCAAGAAGGAGAAGGTAACAGTCACTGGCTGGATCCGTCAGTCTGTCCTCAGGCTTTTCGTGTCTTTGTGTCCTTGTGGAGCCTGGTCATTCATTTCTCAGCTGCCCCAGGGTCTCAGCTCCTTCCTTGGAAGCTAGTGTGGCACTTGCACACCCCCTCGCTTCTACTCGGGGCTCAGGGCCTACAACCTCGGTGTGGGAGGGCAGGAGGGCATCTGTGAGGGGTTGGTCTGTAACCCGTGCTCCTTCCCCTTTCTGGGGACGGGAAAGTCTTGAGTCTGGCCCTCCTAGGGTTCCCTAGCTGCCTGCTTTTCCCCAAATGCTCCTCTGCCCAGGCCCACCTGAGTAGCTCCAACCTGCCCTACCTCACCCTGACCCTGACCCTGTGGCTCCCCAGGAACAGGCCAAGCAGCTCCGGCGCCGCAACATCCAGGCCCTGAAGAGCATCCTGGATGGGATGAGTAGTGTCAACTTCCAAACTACATGGTCCCAGGCCCAGCAGTACCTCATGGATAACCCCAGCTTTGCTCAGGACCACCAGCTGCAGAGTAAGCCTGGGTCTCCACTCCCGCCCATTCCTTCCCTTTTCCTCACTGACCTGGGAGCCCAGGGCCTGCCTCCTACCGCTCCCCTGCACTTATTGCCCTTGTGGATGTCCGGGGTCCTCTGCATTCACTCCGTCCCTGTATCTCTCCAGAGTCTAGAGATACTGGAATACTGGGATACCCTTCCCCTCCCTCTGGGGTCCACTGTTGACCTGGACATTGTGTGTCCTTGGAGGAAGAGCTCTAGGATAGGCAACAGAGGACTGAGAGAGGATAGTTTTTCCAACTCCTGTGAATATGGTCTTAAATTGTCTTGGTGCCAGGGGCCTCCACTGGTCATGTGTTGTCACGATGAGCTCTTGTTGGCCTGCAGTCATTGGCAATGTCAGAAATTGACCTTCTGAACTTGCGTCAAAGCCTGATCCATTCCCAGTTCCGTAAAACATAAAACCTTAGATCCCGAGATTGCTGGTTTCATAGGATTCTTTCCAGTAACTGAATTCACAAGAGCTGAATACTTGCTAGTTTTGTTCTCATGTATTAACGAACCCTCCTCCAGAACCACCATTCCAGTCTCTCTCCCACAGAGGCTTCTGCTCCCTTGCCCCACCACCCAGGGTGACCCCGGTGCCTACTGAGGCAGCACCCTCAAACACGGGGTAGGGGTGTGGGTGCTGGGGTCAGTGAGGGTGTCCCACTCCTGCAGCACCTGCTGAGCCTCCTTTCTGTGCTTAGACATGGACAAGGAAGATGCACTGATCTGCTTTGAGGAGCACATCCGAGCGTTGGAGAGGGAGGAGGAGGAGGAGCGGGAGCGGGCCCGCCTTCGGGAGCGGCGTCAGCAACGCAAGAACCGGGAGGCCTTCCAGGTATCTTTGCCGCCTGCTGGTTAGGTGCACAGCTCCAGAGGGGCCCATAATCTCTTCGCTCGTGCCCTGCCTCCTCTTGGCTAGGCCTGTTGTTTCATCTCCGCCTGGTCCTGTGCCACCTCCACGAGGCCACTCTGCTTCTGCTGTGTCCCTTCAACTGGGGGCCATGCTCCTCTAGGGAGACTGGATGTATGCACCACCCAGAAGCTGCCAGCAGAGAGCACCCTAAAGGCACAGCTTGGCAACTCGGCCAAGTTCATTTCCGTTTGGTGGGGAGCCAGACAGTCAAAGCTCGGTTGTCCCTCAGCTTGGAGGTGGCAGCAGTGGGGGTTCCTTAGCTCTAACACTTTGGGAAGCTGAGAGCAAATCCCGAGCAGGACATGCTGCAGACAAGTTCCTATTTCTCTGCCTCCCAGGCCAGCTGCTTGTCATGTTTGAGTCTGTCCCTCTCTGTATTTACATTCCCTTCGTTTTCACTGCTCTCTGCCTCGCCATCTGTAGCTTTTCATCTCTGCCTCCTTTGCCTGCATTTCCTCAGGCGGGATTGTCCTGGCCTCTACCTCCCATCCCCTCTTTTCCTCCCTAGTCTCTGCCTCTGCCTCTCTCCGTGTTTCCCTCTCCCTATAACTGGCCTCTCCCCACTCAGACCTTCCTGGATGAGCTGCACGAGACAGGGCAGCTGCACTCTATGTCCACCTGGATGGAGCTGTACCCAGCGGTCAGCACTGATGTCCGCTTTGCCAACATGCTGGGCCAGCCGGGTAAGGCAGCCAGGCTCCCCCTTCTCTGGCCTGGCTTCCTGCCCTGCCAGCCTCTCTGCACCCCCACTCCCTGTCCTGGACCCCTCCCCCAGGCCTTGGGAAGCTGCCACCCGCCAGGCCCCCCCTCCCTCCCTCCCCCGCAGGCTCCACCCCTCTGGACTTGTTCAAGTTCTATGTGGAGGAGTTGAAGGCGCGATTCCATGATGAGAAGAAGATCATTAAGGACATCCTTAAGGTGAGGGAGGCCCAGGGTTGTGGATGGAAGCAGATTGGGTGCAGGGCGCCTCTCTGGACAGGACTCCCTGCTAAGTCCTGTGTTGTAGAAGCAGTGTAGCTCCATTCAGCAGAGATCTGCTGTGATCCCTGACTGCACTGGGAACACACAAATAAGAAAGATGCGGTTTCTGTCCGTAAAGAGCTCATGGCCTAATAGGAAGATAAACATGAGACCTGTTATAGAGAGGGCCAAGTGCTATTAGAGATGAGAATCGACAGAATTGACACTTTGCACTATGCCTTTAAGAACGAGCAGGTGGAGGAGGCTGACAGTCCTGGGTATCGGGTATTACAGGAGCAGAGGCAAGGCTGTGGGAAGGGCATGGCAGGTCTGAGCAGTAAGGGGCACAGCTCCTCATAAGCTGGTGGCCCACAGATATTCCTTTTGGCCCATACAGTGTTCTGGAAGCATTTCAACTTTGTTGTTAACATTTTAAAATTAGGTGATTGTATAGAAAAATCAGGGTCTTTTAGTTCTCTTAAAATTATGACTTATCTAGCACCACTGGGCTGGTTTTGCAAAGCATTCCAGGGCCTCAGACTGAGATGCCACTGCTTTTTAGAAGGGGCAGGCCATCCTTAACCTCACGCTCCCACCACCCATCTGGTGTGGCAGCAAGTTCAGCTGCCCCTTACTGCTGAGCAGGCACCTTGCTTGTCTTAGACTGGAGAGAGATTTCTCAACGTCTGTGTCCTTGAAAGGTGGAAAAGGGATTGCTGCACTAAGAGAGCCTTGTGTTTCAGAAGGAAAAAACAAAGAGAAAGCGTATTTCTTGGTGGAAGTGAAGAACGTGCAAAGGCCCTGGGGAGGCAGTACGCCCAGCAGTTAGGAGCAGCACTGTGGAGACAGACTGCTTGGGACACAAGTCCAGCTTAACCACTTATTAGTTGTGTCACCTTCAGCAGACTATTTAACCTTTCTGAGCCTCAGTTTCCTCACCTGAAAAATGGAGGATTTTCCACAAGCCTACACCTAATTACCAAGGGCAGTAACTCGGTACCTGGGGCAAGAAGGGTCGAGAATAAAGCTAGGAATGGGCCACTGCACACAGAGCATTTCTTTGAAGTCCGTATTTTGCTTTACAGATTCAGGTGTTGCATCTTCACACCCTATTACTTTTCTGTTTAATATAAACGTAATGTTTTAAAAGTCCTTACCATTAGGTAAGATGTGCCCTATTGTCCTGTGGCTTCCTGTTTCTCTGAAAGAAAGAGCTCTAGATGTAAAATACCTTGAATGCTAAAATAAGAAGTTTGGGGTTTTATCTTGTAAATAATGGGGAGCCAGGGAATGCTGTGGTCGGAGGATGTCTTGGAAGAGCCACAGGGTAAGAGTATAGAGTAGCATCCCTCAGACTGAGTGCCTGTGTCTGTAGAGGTAGGTAGTTGGAGGACAGTTTTTGAAGTCTCAGAACACTGAAAAGTCACAGTGGCAAGTGATTCAAACAGATCTGGAACTTGAGCCGTCCTCTTCTGACTCACCCCCAGGCTCTCTCCCCTGCTGTTAGGACCCTTTGGTAGGAAAGTCAGAGCAGCACAGGACTCTGAAGGACAGGTTAGAGTATAGGAGGTGAGAAGGGAGGCCAGTCGGGAGGCAGTCTAGGTGGTGAATGAGCTCGGCGGAGGCAGCAGAGACAGCAGATGAGGGAGAGCTGTGCTCTAGCTGTGTTTATCTGAGACCCCTCCCCCCTCCCCTGAGTTTCCTCAGAGGAGCCTTGGGACAAGAAAGGGGGAAGCTAATGCTCCTTCGTCTGTTTTTAAGTATAGCAGCTTTTCTTTTATATACTGAGGTTCTCCGTAAGATTTCTGTGGAAAAAAAAAAGATTTCTGCTGGTAAAAAAAAAAAAGAGAGAGAACTTTAAAATCAGGAGAATGGAGTCACTCAGAAGTCAAGTGAGTTGAAGTTGGCGGAGGTGGGACAATGGTACCATTACTGAGGATTCGGCAGGAACAGGGCTAGAGAGAGAATAGAAATTCCATTTAGGGAATTAGTCTCAAAAGTAACCTGGGGCAGGGAGGAATACAGCAAAGGCCACATTTTAAATAGGACATTTGTGTAAAGTATAAATATCTAATCCCAGGAGAGCTGTATTTTATTGGATGCTTACATTTTAGCCACAGAGTGGCTGGTCCTGCCGACTGGCCTGCAGGAGTCTCATCCTTGCTGTGCCCTGTCTCTCTACATCTCCTGAGAAAGAAGCTTCTTTACACGGTTCCCCCACCGCTCCCCCTTTTGGGCTCCTGCTTACAGAAGGCCTATGAGCCCCGGAGTCCCTGTGGCCACCCACTAGCCGGGCAGACTGTGAGGGCACCTCTCACTCCATAGGATAATGGCAAGAGCCTTGGACTTGGAACAGCTGGAAGCCAGAAGATCTGGGCCTGCGAGATCCATGGGAGTGGGGAGAGGGGTGGCTCACAGGGAATGAATTCTCTTGGGGTCTGCTGAATTTGAAATTTCTGTGAAACCTCCAGCCTATTATGGGTCTGAAAATCAGGAGGGAAGTGGGGCTGAGGTCGCTAGGGACAATGTAGATTGAAAAGACCAAGTGCTATTCTCAGGGGAGCAAGCACAAGCAAGAGAGGCAGTCAGAGAAGTCAGAGAGACAAGAGGGCAGTTGTTGAAGGGAGCAGCACACGTGCAAGGACCAGTCAAGTGAGGACTGAGAAGGGGCCCGTGGAAGTTGTCTCTGAGCACATGAGCACTTCAAGTAAAGTAGTGTCTATAAAGAGGGTGGAATGGAGTCAGGTAACTCCTGGCTTAGACCTCTGCAAGTCTTACAAATTTGAGCCTCAGTTTCCTCATCCGTAGAATAGGAATAATTGACGCACATGGTGTGGGAAGTGCTAATATTTGTAAAGTGCCGGGCTTATAGCAGGCTCACTAAATGTTGATTCGTTTTCCTTTGTGCTGCATTTAACGATTTTGCACCAAAGGGAAAGCAGCCCAAATTGTTAGCTTGAAGAAGGTGAGAGCAAGATGGACAGGCTCTTCCCAGTCAAGTGAGGTACGAGTTTGAGGGGAGTAGCCAGCAGAGAGGTGGGATGGACGCTTTCACTCTCCTGACAGAGACTGGGCTGTTTGAGAAGGGCTGGAGTGTGGGTTGAGGAAATGCTCTTGAAGACGATAAGAAGAGCACATTCCGCCACAGGCGGAAGGCCGGAGCAAGTTTGTGCTGTGTGGAGGGAGGGGAAGGGAACCGGGCCTGTGCCCCCACTGGCTCAAACTCCAGATCGACTTGGGCCCAGTGAGATACCTCTCCAAAGCCTCTGCTTTATTGAGGTGTTGGGAGGCATAGATGAGCAGCTCAGAGCCAGGCCCAAGGTGCTTCGAGAAGGGGAGGTATTTTTAAGTGTTCTGGAGTTGCACACCTGATGGCCTTGAATTCCCCAGAGGACTGAGGGATCTGCGTGGGTGTAGTGCTTCAGACTATGGCTTTGGTGTTAGGACCCGGGGTAGAGTTCTCAGTCAACCACCAATTAGCTGTGAGACCGCGGGCAAGTGCGCAAGTTTCTCTAAACCTTGGTTTCTCCTTCCACATAAAATTAGGAGGCCAGGACCTATGCTTAAATTTCGATTCTGAGGATTAAAAGAAATAAGGTGTGTGAAGTACTCAGCACGGTATCTGGCAGCCTAGTAAGGACCCAAGAACTAAGCCAAAGGATGGGACCAGCAGATGTTGACAGAATGCAAGGAAGTTACTGAGCGGCAGGAGGACCTGACTGGGGCCCAGCCTTAAGCCAAAGGAACAAAGAATTACTTGTGGGAAGCTCAGGCGTCTGTCAGCAGACATGGCACACGCACATGCCCCCTGCCCTCCCCCCATGTGATCCAGTGCCCCCTCCGCTCCCTGCGACATCCAGACCAAGGGTAGGCGTGGGAAGCTTAGGTGTCAGATGATGAGGACTTGGACAGCCTGGTTTCGGAAGTGCATCTGAGTCCTGTGGGTCTCCTCTGGGGGCTGGGGGACTTCTCGAGCATCCCATCCTGTAGTCCAACCCTCTCCCTGCCCCGGAGGCCAGCTTCAGGCCTCGGGCCCGTGACGGCCCCTGCTTCACACACCGCTGTGCCCACAGGACCGGGGCTTCTGCGTGGAGGTGAACACAGCCTTTGAGGACTTCGCCCACGTCATAAGCTTTGACAAGAGGGCTGCTGCGCTGGACGCGGGCAACATCAAGTTGACCTTCAATAGTGTGAGGGCTCAGGCGGGGTGGGGCTGCAGCCAGGGCTCTGTTTCCAACTCATCCCCGCATCTTGTTCTGTCCCTTCTCACTCACTGCCCTGGTGTGACTGTACCCAGTCCCCCCGCTCTGTTCAGTGGGTGGCAGCAGGAGCCCCCAGACCCCAGCTTCCCGTGTCCTGCAGTGTGCCTGAGTGGGGCCTGGGCACCCCCTCTCCTGGGTGACCCTGCTCTGCCTCCTTCCCGTCCTCAGCTGCTGGAGAAGGCAGAGGCGCGGGAGAGAGAGCGGGAGAAGGAGGAGGCGCGAAGAATGCGGCGCAGGGAAGCTGCCTTCCGAAGCATGCTGAGACAGGCCGTGCCTGCCCTGGAGCTGGGCACTGCCTGGGAAGAGGTCAGGGCTGCAGCCTGGCACCAGACACCACCCCCTCGGTCCTGAGGGCAGCGGTGCTTCACCACCACCGGGGGCCCGCCCCAGTCGTAGCACAGCTCGCGGCCAGCTTCGGCCCCCTTCCTTCCTCTGCCCCAGCCCTGCCCTGTGCTCCTGGCGGTGTCCGTGCCTGCCCGGGGCTGGTCTCATCAGCAGTGCTCTCCCGTTCAAGGTCCGTGAGCGCTTTGTGTGCGACTCAGCCTTTGAGCAGATCACCCTGGAGTCGGAGCGGATCCGGCTCTTCCGCGAGTTCCTGCAGGTACTGGAGGTGAGACAGAGCTTCTGACCCTCTGTCTGTGCCCGGCTCACGAGCAGTCTGTCCAGCTCAACAGAGACCCCAGTGACCGCCTACCCCCAGGGGCTGTCCTTGCCCTGAGGTCTGATGTTGGCCTGGAGAGGCCTGAGGCCCTCATTTGAGGCAAAACAAGATTTTTGGGTGCAGGGTGCGTCCTGTGGTGAACCCTGGGGCCTTCCTCACCCCTCCCTCTGCCTCTACCAGACTGAATGCCAGCATCTCCACACCAAAGGCCGAAAACACGGCAGAAAGGGCAAGAAGCACCATCGGAAGCGTTCCCACTCGCCTTCAGTGAGTTGGTGGGCAGAAGGGATGTGGGGCCGGTGGCGAGGGGAGGCTGGATTGTCTTGGGGAAATAGGAACCACGTTACTTGTTTTTTCCCTATACCGCCTCTCCTCGGAGTGAGGTTTGAAAATTCCTTTGGCCCTGGATCCTCCTCTCTGTCCCCAGTTCCCAGACTTGAGGGCTTTGGAGGCCAGAGAACCTGTACGCTGACATGTCTGTGCTGATCTGCCCAGGGCTCGGAGTCAGAAGAGGAGGAGCTGCCCCCGCCATCTCTCCGACCCCCAAAGCGGAGAAGGCGGAACCCCTCGGAGTCAGGCTCTGAGCCCTCTTCCTCGCTTGATTCGGTTGAAAGTGGGGGTGCTGCCCTTGGAGGACGGGGCTCCCCATCTTCTCGCCTTCTCCTTGGATCAGGTGAGCCATTGGGAGTTGGAGTGGTTGACTCCGATGAGAGGAGACAGCGCGCTGAGGGTGGAGGGGATGAGGAGGTCTGTACCCATCGGAGTGGGAAGAACTTCCCTGCCCTGCCCTGGCAGAAACCGGGAGAAGGAAGGAAAACCGTACCAACAGAGACTTCCCCAGCTAGCTCCCTGTCTAAAGAATGAGCCCCCTCACCCCCCGCCATGGGACTTACTGAGTATTTTCTATCTCCAGATCATGGCCTTAGGAAAGCCAAGAAACCAAAAAAGAAAACTAAGAAGAGAAGACACAAGTCGGTGCGTAGAGAAGGGACTGCTACTCAGGGCCCTGCTATGCTGAGAGAGCTCTTCAGCCGCCTCCCGGGCTGTCCTTCACAGGAACTGAGCAGGCGGGCTCTGGGCTCTTACAGAACAGTCCTGAGAGCGAGACAGACCCTGAGGAGAAAGCTGGCAAGGAGAGTGATGAGAAAGAACCAGAACAGGACAAGGACAGGGAGCTGCGGCGGGCGGAACTCCCTAACCGCTCCCCAGGTTTTGGAATCAAGAAGGAGAAGGTGAGAGGCAGGCACCTGACCCCAGCCCAGTCCGCACTCTCCACAGGCCTCCGTGGCCCTCGGCGGAGGCTGTGGGTGAGCTGTGCCTTTGCTCCACCAGACGGGCTGGGACACGTCGGAAAGTGAGCTGAGCGAGGGTGAGCTGGAAAGGCGGCGGCGGACACTCCTGCAGCAGCTGGATGACCACCAGTGACCCGGCGAGCCACTCTGCCTCGGGTCTGTGTGAGGCCATGGATCCTCGGTCACCCTCACTGTCTGCACTAGACTCCTTTCTTAGTCTGGTCTGTGTCCACTTTTCCTCAAGTAGCCCCGCCCCCAACGCGCCACGGCTGGCACCTCCCCAGGTTGCTCGTGGTATTCCAGGGTCCTCCACTTCCCAGGCAACTAGCGCGGTCCTTGCCCTCTGCCCCAGACCAGAGATTGGGATGCCATGTGGAGCGGGTGGTGCTAGTAGAGAAAATGTGAGAAGGGGCCTCTAGGGAAGAATGACAGGTTGGTGACAGGCGGGGTCCTTAGCCTCTAGCATCAGTGCCTGCTCCTGCCTGCCTGGGCCCTTGGGCTCCACCACTCCTTCCTTCAGCCCCGGGACCCAGTGTATGTGTGTTTTGTTTTGTTTTGTTTTTGTTTTTTAAATAATATTTATAACATGGCCAGTGGCTCTCTTCTCTTCGCCGTATCCTGCTGGGGCATGCTGGAGACAAGGCAGGTGCATGCGTGGCCAGCAGAGAGCACTAGTGTCCCGTCGCAGGCCGGCCTCCCTTTGTGTGGTTGGGAGCCCACCCAGCCTGGTTCCCCTTCCCCAGGCTCTTATGCTTACCTCCCCCAAGGAGACGGCAGGCTCCGTGTGGCCTCCTTTCTGTCCCTGTGGTTCAGGTCAGACTAAACGGCCACCCTAGGCACCCTGCCTCCACTCCCCCCGCAAAGAGGAGACAAAGTCAGGCCTGGTGCTTCAAGCCTTTGTTGGGAGAAGGAAGGTCTGGGATTTATGTACATGAGAGAAGGGAGGTGGTACATGTACAGAAAGAAGTAGGTCCCTGTATTCCCCTGCGGGGGCTGGGACAAACTTGCAAGAGACTGAGAAAACAGCTAAGACCGCTGTGCCCCCGTCCCCTGCCAAAATACCCTAGTTGTGGAAAGGGGGCGAGGGTGCTGATGGTGCGCCCTTTCTCTAGCGGTCCCGGGAGAACCTCTACCCTTCTGCCCATGCAACAAGGACAGAGTCAGCCTAGAGTGGAAGGGGCTAAGGGCAGTAAGCATGGTATCTCTCCTTTACCCTTATCACCAGGGCCCAGCTGGGTGGGGACCAGGCTTAGGTGGGCCTTGCTCCTGGTAAAAGATGATCTGAGACTTTTAGGGTCCTGGGGCCCCCCGAGTCTGGATACTTCCAGACCACAGCTGACCAAGAGCCTGCAAAAAGGAAGGGGAAAAAAAAAAGAAGGGGTATCTGCTTTCCCTTCTTGTTCCTCTGACCTAGTGACAAAGGGGGCTGTGGGCCCCTATACAGGCTAAAGCTAGAAATGCTTTTTCCCAGCTCCGAGCTGACCCTTGGTGACCTTTCAGTTGGGAAATGAAGCTGAAGACCCTGGGGCCGAAGTGCAGTCCTGGAGGCATCAGGGAAGTGCCAGGCCCCAGGAGACCCAGGGCCCCTGGTGGTGTCAGGCACATGCAGCTTTGAGAGCTGGGGTGGACGCTGGGCAGAGAGCAGCACAGCCCTGCACTGCGCCCTCGGCCAGTTCCAGGGCCCCAGGTCCACAGGTTGGAGAGCTGAAGTGCTTCTGCTTTCAGGGATTTCTTAGTGGGGGCCTGGAGCCCGCGGGGGGCCGCTGGGCGGTGCGGCACTCCTGGCTTGGTGGCGAACGACAATGGGCTGGTGGTGAAGGCCTGTGGGGAAGACAGAGGCCTATGAACAGGCAAGGAGGCTGGGCCAGGCCCACCCTCTGTCAGAACATACCCATGAGGAGCAGCCCCATGGGCAGGGCCAAAGAGCCAGTCATGAGGCTGAGGAAGGAGAAGCCTTAAGAGAGGCCAGAGGGAATGGTCAGGGAGCCTGCTGGGGCTCTGCATCTTCCGAGGACCAGGTCGGGGTGACTAGAGGCGGCTAGGCAGCGGCAGAGACAAAGTAGACTTGGCGATAGCCAGAAGCTGAGGAGAGCCCCCAAGAGGACTGAGGATCAGGAAACCGGTCAAGGGACATCAATTGCCCCTGGGCAACAGCTACTGCCAGCGTTCTTTATGGCGGGGGCAGGGGGTTGGCACAAGTCACAAAAGATACCCAGACCTGAGAATGGAGGGAGCCTCGGCCTCAGCAGGGAGAGGTGGTGTCCAGGTCCTGCCCGCTGTGGAAGCTCCCTACCCCTTGGGGCTTAGTAGAAGCCAGGACAGCATTAGTGGGAGACACCACTTCCCCAAAGGCACATGCAAGGGGACAAGCCATGCTTCTCAGAGCACTGGGCATGCAAATGGAGAATTATGTGCCCCCATCACCGTGAGGCTGCCAGAGGATGGTTCCAAGTCATGCAGGGGAGGAGGTGCCTGCGGGCCCAGGAGGAACCCGGGGAGGTGGGCATGCAGAGAGGGCAGCTGTGGTGCCCGGTACCTGTCAAGAGCCCCAGCCTTGGGGGTTAACAGTTTGACTCATCATGGTGGGCTGCATCGCAGAAGAAGCGTGAGCCCCGCTTGGCAGTACGGGCCGTGAAAGGGACACTCTTCAACACTGTGGCCCAGGAAAGAGACACAGCGGTCAGGCCTCGTGGGGATGGGGTGGGAGGAGGGCCCAAAGAGGTGAGGTTGGAGTTGGGGAGCCAGGCCCAGTGGCCAAGCCCGAGGGAGGGACGAGGGCCCCACCTGTAATGATGTCCTCAATGGTACCATCCTTCCCCTCATAAACAGGCCGATGCTCCTTGGCCTGGCGCCTCCTCAGTTCTGCGATTAGCTCCTGCTGTTGCCACTTGTTCCGCTGAGATGGGGTCTAGGGCCGATCATTGAAGGGGAGGGGAGTTATCCCTACCTACCATGGCTGGTTCCTGCCCCAAGATGTGGTCTGAGGATGCCCTTGGTTGTCCACAGCAGCCCATCCCCGATCACTGCCCGGGAACCCCTTCCCAAAGCCCCTCTCCCCATCGCTTCGGACTCCAGTCTCAGGCCCTTTGGGTGGTCTCTGGGCTCCAGTTTTCCATCTCTCTAGTTCTCCCTCCATCCCCTCATAATCCTCTTCTGCAGGCCCCAGCTCTTGGTCCCACCCACCTTGGCATCCAGTTTCTTGGCTTCCTGAGCCAGCTGCTTCTCCCGCATTACCTCCTCCTGCTTCTTTCTAGCTTCGTTCTCTTGTTCTGCTTCCTAAGAATCGTGGGGAGAGTGGGGCGGTGAGGCTCACACAGGCTGTGAGGGGCGGGGCTGCCACCGAGGGTGGAGAATGAGTGACAGTGGGACCAGCAACCCCAGGTGGCCACCGGCTGGAGGGGCACTTCCTGCCCCAAACAATGACAGGAAGGGCCTGGGCCCCCACCCTGCCCACCAGTTCACAGCTGAGAGGCCTGTGGCCAGCTTCCATTGCTCCCTCCCAGAACTCCAAGGAGGAGACAGAAAAGGCCCAGACTTGGAGCCCAGCCCTCCCTCCCCCTACCAGTTTTCTCTCAGCTAGATTCCTTTGTAAAAGCCTCTATTCCGCTCACCTTGTAAGAACGAATGAATCGGACGAACACTGGGAAGAATACAGAAGGGGGTGTGGTCTTGGGACTCTCGCCGAAGTAGCGCACAACCGCATTATAGGCCTCCTGGGGAAGGGGTGGACAGAAGGGGGTCGGTCGGGCAGAGGAGGACAAGCCTGGCTCTCCAGCAGGGACAGGAGGCCCACAGAATACAGTGCTTGGGGCCAAAGGAGGAAAACCAGCAGCCCCCAGCCCCTGTGGGAGGGAAAAGAACCTGGGGCTCCCCGAGGTCCATTGAGTATGTCCCCAGACGTGGCTGCTGGCCACCCTCAAATCCCCTCTCCCCCACATGCAGCCGGTCAACCACATGAGAAATGTTCTTCGGTCCAGGGGCACCTGGGTGGCACAGACCATCACATTCAGAGCGTGATCTCAGGGTCTACTTAAGACTCTCTCCCCCTCTCCCTCTGCCCCTCCTCCCTGCATGCACTTGCCCCCTCTGTCTGTCTCAAATAAATAAATCTTTAAAAAAAAAAAAAAAAAGTTGTTCTTTGGTCCAAGAAGCAGAACAAAGCCCATCTGGAGGGGCACAGGGCCTTGACCCCGGCTGTTCGCCTGCCTCCACCCTTCGCCCACCTCGGCCGTCTTGGCGTCACGCTGGAGCTTGTCCAGTTTGCCTTCGTTAGTGCTGAGGAAGTTCCGAAGGACGCTGTTGTCGTGGATGCCGCATTCCCGCCGAATCAGCTCCATGCCCCGGCCCAGCTCCTTCACGTCTAGCAGCACATTCTCCAGGGACACTGTGGTCACCAGAGCCTGGGCTGAGGCCTGCTTGGCGGCAGCCTTGGGTTCTCATGCCCCTGCTTCCTGAGCCACCTGGTGGCCACCGAGAACCATAGACCCAGCTAACGGGGCTTGCACAGAGGTAAGGGAAAGGAATGGAGGCTGTGAGCCTGAGGGCAAGGTAGCACAAGAAGGCAAGCCAGAGAGGCTGCTGGTCTCCAAAACGGAGCTGCCTCAGGCCTGGGGCAGAAATATCAGCTGCCTTAAGTCTGTGGGGACCTTATGGTTTTTCTAAGCCCTTCACACATCACAGAGAAACAGAGTGTCCAGGGCCAGCCCGGGGGAGTTAGGAGCAGAGAGCTGCTTCTGTCCCTCTGCCTGGGCCACGCGGGAGCCTGCAGGAAGACTCCCTCTGGGGTGGCCCCTACCCATGGCCCCAGCGGAAAGCTCAGGGGTCAGAAAGGAGACAACGAAAGCCAGAACGGAAGGGACCCAAGTGTTCCCTCTCCTGAGCTTCCTGGGATTGTCCTGGGCTAGACACGCAGGCAGGGTGGCCGGGCCAGGCTCCCCTCACCTGCCGCAGCCTTCTCCACGAAGTGTAGCTCATGCCAGAAGTTGGCCAGGTCTGGATACTTCTCTTTCACCGTCAAGGCGATGAAATGCAGCAGTGTCATCTTTCTGTCAGTGGACTTGGTGTCCAGCAGCTGGGAGAGGGGGGTGGGAGTGGTGAGAGAGAGGGCCGAACGCCACAGCTCATCAGGCTTCCTGGCCCCAGAGTTGCCCCCGCCATCTTACCAGATCCAGGCTCTGGAGCTTGAAGCCGTACACAGCACCTCGCTTGCTGCTGTTCATATAGTTCCCCAGGGCAAGTATGATCTGTCCAAGAAATGTAGGGGAGGAGGTCAGGCCAGGCCCTGCAGGCTCCTCCCTCCACCCAGGCCAATGGGCACGTGCGGGTGTTCGCAACCCCTCCCCACCTCCAACATCTGCTTCAGCTTCTGGGAGGACTTGACAGAGGCAGAGGCGGCAATGATGGCGTTGAGTTGCTGGAAGGCGAGATGAAGAGTCCCGTCAGCCCAGGACGCGATGGGGCCAAGTCAGCCTGACAGGGCGGATGGGGGAGGGGACTCGCGAGTAGAGTTGGGGCCTGGGGGACCTGGACGGAGGCTGTACCGGTGTGAGCATCTGCAGGTTGTCCTGGAAGTTGCCCAGGAAGGCCATGCCAGCCATCCGCTGCGTCAGCCGCTCCACCTTGCTGAAGAGCAGCATGAAGCGGTCCTCGGCCGCTAGCTCGTCCAGCGGCTGCCGCTCCCGCTCATACTGCCGCAGCAGCTTCACCTCGGCCTCTGTGGGCAGGAAGCGCATCAGGCACTCCA